CCCACAAATGGAGCCCAACCGCACTCACCATGGTTATTGAATCGGACCGATCAACTTTGCTCACACACCGATGATGCAGGTCACGAGAGAGCACATTGCACCAGTACGAATTTTACTCACACCCATAGGGGTGAACCGGTTTTCCAACCTCAGAATTCACTGACTACCGTATTTGGTATGCCTGGGATTAGTACGTACGCCTCTGATAGCATTCAACCAAGTTGGCAAAGTATTGAAAATCGGTTCTCGTAGCTCGGGTGAACTGAATTCCATTTCGCCTGTTCGCCGAGCTTGGCAATTTGTTTCCAAACGTTTCATCACCAGCCGAGATGACATCATCAGTGCTTGTGAAGCACTGATCACCGTATCTCTAACCGCCGTTTACGTTGATCCAGGAAGCTTAATGCGACCTATATGACTCAGACTCCTGGTCAGGGTTTTCAGACCCTTTCCACAAACACTGCCTACCTCTGCAATCTACTTGGTATCATGCGTAACACATGAGCTTACCAACGTAAGCTAGAGAGGTCGATCACTATTCCTAATAGGTTACCGCAATCACCTAAAACTCTACGCCTAACTTCAATATTGTTTGTCCGGTTGCCCCCTATCAGACTGGTGCAATGCAGCGTTAACAGTGGTGTCCGACCGCCCACAGTTTATCTTTAATCTATTCCCGTAATGACACTGCTTTTGCTGTTGCTCCAGGATGGGATGTGGATTCAAGTATTTCAATAAACAAGCGTTCATGAGCGAACAAAACTTGATCGTATGGAGAGTATCGATGCATACGGTGTCAATCAAAAGTTCTTTCAATGGTCTTTGATGAACGAACATAATGACCACGGTTTGTTTACTCAGTTCGTTCAATTCCCACGACTTGAAACAACGCTTTTTATCTTACATTCTCCTTGACAGGTGAAGTTGGAGCCAAATTCACCAATTGAGATGACTTTTAGGCGAGTACAAACAGCTCAGCTTGAGAGAAACAATAAAGAGAGCCGTGGGACATTCATGCCATAACAATGGTGAAGCTGATCATGAAAATGAGAACCACAGCGGGGGGGGAGGATGACACATGATTGTCTTACAGGTGAGGGCATTGATGGTGGAGGTGGTGAACATGGGAACAGACAAATAGACACAAATGTCAAATGCAGAGGGAGGGACAAGAAAGGAAATGACAGATTAGCTAAATCAGAAGNGTAGCCGAATCATCTCTTTTTCAGAAACAAGAAGGAAAACATACGGAACGAAAATACGACCGAATGATTGTCAGCAAAACGAAATAATGTTGATCGTATGAACGGCTGAATGGGACTTGAATGATTGTACGAATGGCACGGTAGATGATAAACAAAACCAAAAAGAAAGGAAAATGAAGAGAACGCATCGTTTCGAAATAACGTCATTCCCACCTCTCCGGTGTCCCCGATGCGCACGAGGGAGTGAATAATCACTTGTCCCGAACAAATCGAGGAAGAGTCACAGCTACAAAAACATGCTGCAGCACAAAAGTCAGTGAAATAAGAGGAGCAGAAGAACTGGTCTTACTGAAGGATCAAAACCGACCCTAGTCTGTTATCACGAATCGCATAAATTTCATTCATGGTGCGAGGTCCTGAATATATGGCAAGCAAAGACAAAGACAGACAAATGGGCGCTGAAGAAAAGCAATTGAGTATGAGGAACAAGCACCCTACTAATCCCTTCCTGTGATCAAAAGACGCAAGCAACAGATAGCTGACCAAGAGTGGACGCGTACACACAGTCAGGATGACAATCAAACAAAACATGCAAACGGGTGGATTGACTAGTAGTAGACTGATGGAAAAATATGATACCGGTACAATATACCGGAATATGCTATTGTGGTGTACTATCCGTAGACGTAGAGGTGGATGTTGTCTTGATCAGACGTTTCTCTGACAATTCACGCTCCATGGCCGCCAACGGTGGTGGAAGAAGGTCAATTGCGTTGATCCCACGACAAAACACACGGGACGGTCGTACAAGAAGCCCGTGACCCGGACGACAAGTGAAATAGCGCTTTCCGGCCACTGAACCATCGTGACGGCCACGTGGTTTCCGCAGCTCGACACCTAGCCAGATACCTTCCGCAAATGTGATCGGGCCGATATAGCGCACAATACCTGGCACACAATGCCAAGAATGATGAGTTGAAAAGTGCATGAAATGCAGGAATGCACGTAGAAATTAAGGTAAATAAAACTGAAGGATAGTTAAAAACGCATTTACGGTTATTGCTAATCAGGAGAATGTACTACTGAGTATAAAAAGTGGTAAATGAATTTCAGATGTTCATATAAATCCTCAACTCGTATGTGTGAATAAGTCTTGGTCTTATTTACAAATGAGCAAGGAACAAGTAAGCTGGTGTTCTCCTGAAGATAATTCATGTTGGATACTCAATGGGAAATGACTCCTACAAATTAGTGTGTGATAAAAGGAATATGCGAGTCCAATAATCAAGGCAAGATAAAAGTCAATTAGAAGAATCCTAATAGGATGAGTGGAGAGCTGTTTAATGAAATCTGAGAGTCGACTTTATCTGACCTATATTTTTCGACCGTTACCCGTGTGATCAGATTAAGTCTAATGAAGGATATCGTGCAGCTCTTCGGGCCACATCCATGATATTTTCGAAACGTAAAAAATCCATACTAGAAATCTATGAAACCAGCTTGGCCTTTCCTATAAGCTAGTTACTTTTAACTCAGGTTGCAAACGACAGGCGCACAATCTCTGAGAGGGGGTCGTCAGTGTTGGTAACCAGTGATCAGACTAAGTGAGAATATTTAAACATCGGAGGTCGATCCAGTAGTTTGCTTTTACTGCTGCTCCGGTAGTCAATTGTAATGCATGTACGTGTTTAACAAGGTCTCTTTATAAATTGCAGTGAGCAAATCCAATCGCTCAGTGCAATAGTAGAACGCTAAGAAACAATCAAGGTTTTGACCTACACATATAGGACAGGATACAAAAAGAGAAAATAGGAATGTGTGGAACCTTAATTCAACACAGCAGACATTGATGAGACCTGAAATATTCATGTTCGGAAGAAAGCGGCTGCTTGAACTCACGCACGCACATTTATGTCATATTTTACAGTGAGATCCGCTAGTTGCGCACCCTTGGTGGATATCTTTACATAGTCAGAATAAACGGCAAACTGATTTAATACTAACATGAGCTAACAGTTGAGAACACCTCATCCCCAGACTCGCTAATCATTTTGCAAGCTGTCCAACACTTAAAACAGGAGTGACTTAGGAGATCAATAGGACAGCTAGGGCGGCCCACCTGTTTCTCTCGAAGTTGGGACATCCGTGGCTCTGATTACGCTGTGTTGCACAGACTATCGCGCTTGGTTGGGACACCCAGAACAATCGTCGAAAGCACCAGTGGGTGTAAGACTTGGGCATCTCGCTCCATGTCTTCATTTGCGACAGCTGTAACAAGTAGCGATCCCATCCCCTTTAACTGCCTAAAATAGATTTGGCCTGAGACGGGATGGTTCTCTTATAAAATAAGATCGAAAATGTCCGGGCGAACAAATATTGCGCTATCGATAAAACGTGTGATGCTGACTGGGAACCCAGATGAGATGCAAGCTGTACCTGTTCGGGTCAGGAAAAAAGTAACAATATCAGTTGTGGTTAGTGTCACTGATGTGTGAAATATTGGTACATGGGCGAGCTGATTGGGTGCCCCATCTAGCACCAACCGGAGAAATGGCCGAAGGTAGTTGCGTTTTACGAATAATACGACTGCTGGATAAAAAACTGAATGCGAATAAAGTTATGCCACAAACACGAAAAGCACCATCAAGATGATCAATGCAAATATTTTTGACATCCTTTATCCCTTAGACCTCCCAAAGCCTCAGTATGGTCGGGAGTGGATTCCTCGGGTTGTGGTTGGTCAGACCTCTCTTGCATCTCTCGAACTGCCCTCATGTGACCAAACGTCTCAAATAATTTCTGTTGAGGAAGCCCTAGTAACTGCCTTCTCGTGGTCGAGGTATTTTCTCACCAAAATGAGAGGACGAAAGGCCGGATTCCGGGGTGATAACCGGATCGGTGAACAACTTGCAGTTTACCTATGGGAGTTGGCTAAAAACCCTGATTTCAAACCTACCAAGGTGTATGAATCACGCCCACACCTTCCTGATCATGATTGAAATCACCGACTCGATTGAGTATCGAGGTGTATTGGGCACCTTTAACGTCCGAAGGGTGTATGATCCGACGAACTGGACATTGGCCTCCAACGAATTGCGGTTTCACACACTGCCCCGCTGTCTTGTGTTCAGGCTTTGGTAGGCCGAAGGCTCCAGATGTGGATTCCTTAAGAAAATTCACCTGCATTGGCCTGGGTAACTTGGCAGTATCACGCCTTCGAGCAGATCATGGACCTTTTACTTTTTATAAGGATTACTGCGCCGTGATTTGTTTGGTACACAGTTTGAACCCAGGCGTGTGTGAAAATATTGTTATTATTATTATATCCCTTAGTGGTCCGATGTCCATCGCTTCCAAGTGAGGATACAAAACGACTATTTGAACACCATCGTCCTTGTAGTATTGACTGAATACCGAGAAACAGGTGGGTGATCAAGGCTGCGGTTCAGGTACAAGATCACGCTCGAACCTCCAACGGTTAATCTATTCCTCCCGAAAGCCAGGATTTGTCGAAGAGTAAGGTTTGACGAAAAAGGGAATTATTGAATGATGCTGAAAGCCGACTGGTCGATAATGTGTCAGAAAGCGTAGATCTCATATCAGTCAAGGTGGGCTGCATTGTTAGATGTCCAGGTTAACATCCATCTAGCTTGACACAAACTAGTTCAGAGAGAAACGACACTTTAGAAATTTAAAAAAGGGATTCTCATGGGAAATTTGAAAAAGATGCCGGTATAGCAACACTGAAGGATTTCGCTGTATCTTAACTGGGGCTTACTGCAGACAAATACATTGTTTATATGAGATTTGGATTCAGCAAAAATTGTCTAGGACATAAATCGTGCAACCTTGTTATACTGACTTCTCTTTTCAAACTTTAGAGCATAATTTCACATTCACTATCCAAAAAATCCAAATGTGTCACATGCCATAGTTGTACCACAGTAAGGTAACCAAAACACAGCTATAAGAGAAAAACCCTGAAAATCGAAGGGTACGGCGTGGTGTCATGTCACAAAATCTTTCGTTACTTTCGAGAAAGGATACCAACAGCAACATTATCGAGCGGACTACATAGAGGAACTTAATCGAATCCGGTGTGCGCACAAAGATACACGAGAAAACGTACCCATTTCCCCAGCACACAATACTTGCATTCCTTCGCATAGATAGAACACCGGCGGATCTTTGATCTCCTTCGGAGTGTGCCCGGCCGCGTGAAGTGCATTGATTAATTCTTGTGGTAAACTGGGTCGACCAACCACAGCTCGACCAACCATTGGTGAAGTAGTAGTTGACCAAGCCAGACGATGTGCTGGTTTGTCCAATCGTAATCCACCTGAAGTACCGGAGCCGTAAAGTGATCCCGTCATAGAGGCATTACGCAATCCGGATGACGCAGCCCGACTGCACTGAGGAGTGGCTGACCGACTGATACTGGGCAGTCGTTGAATGCGATTGAGTGGAGCGAAAATTCCGTGACCCATTGCACACTCAAAATAGCGGACACCACCAACAGAACCGTTATTTTTACCAACAGACTGATCTAATTCCACTCCATACCAGGTTCCCGGAGCGAACTGAGTTGGGCCGATGAAACGGATGACACCTTTCCGCTGACCAGCGACCAGGACACGATCACCTAACTCCAATTGTCTTGAGGCAGAATTGAGATCCGGAGAACGAATACGAAGACCTGTATGGAGGCAGGTGAAGCAAACCCACGCACAGAAAGATAGGCTCTTAGTTAAGCTGACCGAGGAAAGGGTTTCTGATAATGGGTGGGATTGTGACACGTAATGGGTAAAACCAAGAAAAACGACCATAAGGAGAATGAACGGTTAACAAGGTGATACAAGTGGCTGACTGGGTTACACCAATCAATGAAACGCCCGAAAGCAGAGCGCATCTGTTTTTATCACGTGCGATCAAAAAACCACAGCAGTACGAAAACAGACATTCTCTCAGACCATCTGGAAGCCCTGACATGTCTCTATCGAGTTAAGAGTAGGTGTTGATGTATTGGTAAACATATTGTGTTGCCCCGTGGATAACTAAAAATGCTGCCAGATGATATATATTCACAATCTACACTGATGGGGTAATGCTCATTGCCGTTCCATGAGAAGAGAATTCACAATGAGCTGAGAGACAGATAGAGTGAGACAGTGAGAACCAAATCTAGTTGATTACCCCCTCCAATTGTAAACCATTATAGACAATGCGTATAAAATGGTGCCCAGATTACGGACTATTTGTTATTCGACCTATTTGGTCGGCAGGGTGTATCGCGTACCTTAAATATATGTCACTGACCTGTATCGATTTTAGCTGTGACATGTGAGACATCGATTGGTGAATGAGATACTCCGCTACTTCCGCTCACTGCACTAGAATGATCGTTCTCACTCGAGGACAGCGAACCGGACAGGGAATAACTTGATCGGGAGACACGAATCGGACCACCTTCATGATGATCTGGTGATTGTGGTGCTTGCTGTCGTGGTGTGGCAGGTCGGGCTCGACTCGCAGGCTGTCGAACAGGAAGCCATTGTTGTTTGCTGGCATCGTCGCATACAGCTTTGTACACACGGCCGATCGGGGCGAATACCCCGTGGTTTGCTGCACAAGAAAAGTACTGTACCTAAAGCCAGGAAGAACAACGAATGAATGAGCAGGTCCACATAAGATGAACTCTGAACAGTTTAAAGGATAAATCAGAGCAAAAACGGAATATATTACATCCTAGTTGATAAAAATGCGCAATAAGGAGAAACAGATTGATAGTCCATTTGCTTTAAGTTCAGCGTAAAAATAACAAATGACTTCAGCTTAAAAAAATAAAGCATTGCACTCTAGTGCCGTGATTATCAAAAAGTCCATAAAAACACAAAGCGACCGCAAAACACGAAACCGCTCACCCCAGCCACAGTCCCGTTATTTCGTCCTAGCGGTTCATCCAGTTCCACACCAACCCAAACCCCAGAAGCAAAAGCAACTGGACCACAATAGCGTAATCGACCGATACGTCCGGTCACAGCAATGGGACCGGGATCACGTGAATGAGTGCGTACAGCGTGACCTGTGTTGCCCGGGCCGATACATACGCGATCGTTCAAAGCAAGACCAAGAGACTGCAAAGTAACCTTGGCTGAGATAGTGGAGGTTGCCGGTAATGGGTGGTTTAGGGGCGCGTGTTTTGTGGGTGCCGTACTTGGTCGGGGTAGTGTTGCTGGTGACGGAGGTCGTTGGGTTTCAGGTAATGTTGAAATTGTACATTGATGCATCGGCGCGGCCGGAGCTTCGGCGGAGTGCACTGGTGTCGGTTGCACTCGAGGGACACGAGGGGATAGATAGCCACTTTCCGCTTGAAATGTGAAATAATTGTAAAAGTAAAGAGAGAATCAACGTTGAGTCTGGGAAACGAGAAAAATCATGATGATCGATATTAAATTGGGTGCCCAGATTTAATATAACAACGCTGTTTGAAAAGTACAGGCAGTACAGGTTTATTCCGTGAGAATTCAAGGACACCAGTCTTATTATGTGGGTCTAACTCATTGGGAATTCCTTCAATTTTTTACTTGTATATCGTTACGTTGGTACACGAATCTGGTGAAAAGACCAAATAACAATGTGAAGATTAGATGTAGTATTTTGTAATCATTCTATTTTAATGTACTGAAGCTTCGGCGAATTAAATACAAACCTTCAGCCATAAAGAGACAACTGTCAAAACACTGACAAAAAGGGGGAAAGGAAGACAACAAGATTGCAAAAATATGCAATAATTACTGGGCTCAGAACCAACACTCCTTGTCAATCAGTATCCCGGCGGGATAGGGTACCAAAGTTTCTCTGTAGGCAGATATCCGAGATGGGATGTTTTTATTAGGAATGGGTGGAGGGGTGAGATTCACATGCACACAAGTCAACGTGCAAAGGATGAATGCAATCAGATAAAATATTGTCGGCAACCTTGAAGCACGCATCCATATGAACATCTCAGATATTGTAAATCAAAACATATGAAGGAACTTGGGAAACGCAGCTGATCCCTGAGAGGCCTCGCCTGAGCAGCTTAAAATTGTCCTTCAGCAAACCAGGGAAAATCACAGGGGTATAAGAAAACATTGTTGAAAAAAGCTCCTATCACCGACAAATCAAAACAGAAGTCACGCAATCTTCTTATCTGTAAGGAGAGAACATTCAACTTCCAGGCAATAGTTTGGATATGTAAAGACCGGCGAAGGTCACTTTCAGTGACCCCTAAGTACTTTACATGGTTCCTCTGCTCATCAGCTTTCCCTGAATCTGAATATTATCGGAGGGAGATGGAGAGCAGCTTAAAGTGAAAGTAGATTGAAGGCAGTACTTGGGATCAATAGTAGGAAAGGATAAAGAAGAACACGTAAAGAGGTAAGATAAGTTTGTGTTATACGTAACCTGTTCTAATCGGTTAGACAGAAACAGAAATGGCAATATCATCAGCGTATGTGAAATGTCGCACGGCGGGAATATTGGGTAGGTCACTGATATAATTCGCAAAAAGATAGGCTATTAGGACAACAAGTTCAAGTAGACCCGAATTACTGAGCAATATCGTTGACTGTTGTCTTCCCAATTTAATGTACTCATATCCCTGAGAAAAGTGATCACCAAGCAATGCAGGAAGAGAAGTAGGACAACCAAACGATTCAGTTTCAATTGGTACAACCATTAACCGTGCACTTCCATTCGCCGGTTTGGTTGCCTTCTTTTAGATGCCCATTAGGATAAAGCAGTACGAGAAAGACAGGAAAATTGAAAGTAGAGTCGACGAGAAAATGGAGCAATCCTGTGAGTTAATGTTGCAAAGAAACTGAGAAGATGCATGAACGCCACTGTTTACGACACTCAGCCATACTACTCAGTATATCTAACCACCAGTTACCATTATCCCGAGGTCCCCATCCAGGAAATCTACCGGAGTCTGTGTGATCAAGTTTCCTGGTTAGGGTTTTCATACCCTCGTACCAGGTCTACTTTTGATCACCCTGGGCTTTTTTCCGCCCACTACCTGCCTCTGCAAACATCGCTCGCCTTGGCATTCTATTTGCTGACATGCGTAGCATATACCCCAACCAACGTAATGGATGTCGACCATTGTGGCTTGCTGAATAAAAGAGAACGGGGCACCGAGTCAAAAACGGAAGAATTATCAAATACACATATTTGGCTTTCTCGTTCAGGGACTTGCAGGTGAAGTGAACTAGGGGAGAAAAGCCATCCAGTTTAGAGCGGCTGTTTGAATGCAAACTGATCAATGCCATCTTTTGGGGATGGGTGTAATTCTCACCGGGCCCCGGGAATCCGGAATAGCGATATGCGCCAAAATGTGAGACAGCGGCACAGCACGGTGTATAAGAAGTGTAGGACTTGAGCTGCTTGGACCAGGTGCGGTCGACACCGTAAGAAAAAGTATTTTTTATGTATTTATTACACACCTGGGTGTGATGAACAGCAGACGGGGTAAACCCCATAGTCACGAGGACCTGCACACATATACATTTCACTAGGGACAATGGGTTCAAACGAAGATGGGATTTTTAGAGAACTGGGGTCTACACAATTGGGCTAGGTGTCATATGAAGAATGAATAAATGCGGCATTCACTTGTTCACTATCAATAGAACTGGAAATCATTTTCTTCTGCCTGCAGAATAGTTTGATTCCACACCACACAGGTTTAAAGTTCGTCGTCCAAAAAAATGACTTGATCAGAAGAGATAGTTGCTATATTTCAATTCTCCTATCACATTTAAATGCACGTTCCTTTTCACGACGAAGACGTTTAGGAAAAGGTGTTGCTACTCATTCACGTTGGAGGAACGAACTTATCACAGGACAGCATATGTCAAAAACACGGTTTACCAGATCTCTTAGAAATGTCATATTAGACAACCAGGTTGTGTTTAAGGGAAAACAATCAGTAACTACTTTAAGAGACCCTCTTAGCAGAGCAATATTCTCCGAAAGACCTCGCTGACAGAACATGTGTTTCGGTCGAGTGAAAGAAAAATGTTCCGAGAGTGAGTGAATCTCAGGTTTGAACAGGATCAAGTGATGATCACTGGTGTTTAAGGACGGGAAATGTTTGGTAGAAAGTGTCAGCGCGATCAGTGAATATGTGATCTAGATGAGAGGTTCCCACAGTTGGTTCAGGAATAAGGACATTGAGGTTCAGATAGAACGAAGGCTGTGGGGAGCGTGTTTAAGACCACCAGTTATTAGGTGCAACTCGTCAGCAAAAACTGGTACGAAATGATAAAAAAATGTATCAATGTCTGAAAACCTACAACGGGGTGCAATGAGTGATGAGGATAAAGGGAAAGCGGGAAAATTTGGTGTGACAGACGATAATCAAACAATCAATGTCATTTTCCGAATATTTGAAAAGTATTTCGGCTTGCCATATTACTGGGAATTGATGTAGGTAAACACAGCCACCCCCGACTTCTCCCTACACCGTTGTCTATCCTGTCTAAAGCAGACGAAATTATCAGGCGGGACCACAGAGTTTTCCATATCATCACTGAGTCATGACTCCTGGAGACACAAAAGGTGCGAAACTCCTTTTGCAAGAGCAGGTGGGATAAATCTGGAAGCTTCCCAAACAAAGAAGGGGCATTGTTACTCACAACTGTACGTATAGTCCCCTTGCCGAAAGTAGTGCGACCGAGAAGCTCGTGACTAATCTAATCAAAGGTTGAAGATAATGGAACATATGACTGAGTGAGTAAACAGTGACGCGATGTAGTTAGCTTACCTTCTGTAATTTTAATTATGGGTGTCATTATCCATAAATTTTCATTTGGCTCCCCCTCCTTAACTGGTCCATGGAACACCAAACCAAAAAGAATGCACAACAAAGATGCAACTATTTGAATTAGCGTATCATATCATGAATCTGGAGTGATTCGACGAGGGCAGTCTGACTCTGAGGACAAGCAACGATCGATGGACACGTGAACAACGATTAATCACGGTCATGCGAAGGAACCGAGAGATGCGCAAGAGTTCCCTCAGTGATTTGACAAAACAGAATTTCAATGCATAAAAATAGAAGAGCTCAAGTTACCCGTGTCAACCAATAATCATTTATGTTAAAGATAAAACTGTTATATGATTCAAGGGAACGACGTATCGTATGGAAAGGGCCACGGCAATCGAAGCATGACGTGTGCTGGAAGCATGAAGAAGCTGGCTTCAGTTGGCGCAGCCCGCCTTCCAGGTTGGGGCCCAAAGGATGAGGATTGTCGTTGGTATATATATGGTAACACTACTATGGTAATAATAATATATATGGTAAACAAAGTTCTGCATGAACAGAATTGCACGTAAGCCGTAAGAAAATTGCGCGATCGAGCAATTGAACGAGTGTTATGACGGTCATGGCGATCGTAGTCAAACTTTTACTCATTTTACTTTTGCGCACTGAAGAACATGGTGGTTATCTCTTCTCTCTCTCTCTCTCTCTCTCTCTCTGTAGGCAACTGGAGATATGAAAGACAAAATCTCTACACTACAAGTTGGATATGCGTGTGTGCGGTAGGTCGGTCAAATTTCATGCTGAACCGGTGATCCGCAAGGTAAATTGTATTACTATTTTTTGTCAACTATCTGATATACGATGAACCAGTCAATCACAAAGCAACACTGGCATACTAAGAGTAGTGTATAATAAATAAATAAATAAATAAATAATAATATAGCGGTCCATCTTATTCTTATTCTTACTTATCAATTAGAAGGCTTCAATTGATCAGGTTGGTTAGGCATAACAGAAACATCGATTTGATACGTTCACTTCACCATTTCGATTGACGTGTTCAAGCAGCATCATTCGCACACGCATAAATGATATATGTTCACAATTAACACACAGTTAACTATGAGTAGTGGTGTGGTTAGGCCAACATCTGAGTCGGTGAACTGTTGACAGATCACAGATCATCACTGAAAAGCACCACTTGGATAAATTCGCCGGTTCTCATAACATGGTGTGATACACAAATCAAAATACACAAAGGACAGATGTGAGTTAGATCGAGGGACGAATATGTGTACAATATCTATCTTGCACACTGAGAGATTAAATAGACTAATAAGATAGAATGACAATCAATTTGGTAGTGAATGATGACTTGTAAGAGGGGGATCACGTGGCCGATACACGAAACACTGTCTTAGCAACGCAACACGGAAGAGACACTAAACCTGTAAAAGCATACCATAGTGAGAATTAACCAAGTGTCTTCGGCACCCGAGAATGTTGATAGATATGCATCTGGATCTGTGCACTAAAGAGAGAGAAATCATGCACCTAGAAACATAAATACAACTACAAGTAGAAACAAAAGCATCAATGTAAAAGCATATATCGTCTCTGAAGTTCAATGCAGGCTTGCGATTCGTGTTGATTGGAGCTTGTTGTGTGTGCTGTGCACACTTACAGAAAAAAACGAAAACCACCGCAAGCAGCAGTTAACGCAGGCACTAATGTTTCCTTCATATTGTGTTGCGCAGCGCGGGCGTTCATTCCGAGCCGAAAACCAAACCACAGAAAGTCGAGAGAAATAGGGGTGAATCCCGGTACTCCTTTTGCTTATTCAACCAACAATTTGTAACCATTGTATAAGTAGCACAAAATTTTGTCAGGGAGTATTATATATCCCAA